GGCCACCCTCCCCTCCCTCTTCGGTGAGCACTGCAGGGGCTGGGTGGGCAGCAGGGTGGGGGCTACCACAGCAGGCATTGTGGCTAATGCATGGTGTGTTCCAGTGACGCCGCTGGACGTGGTGAAGATCCGGCTGCAGGCACAGAGGACTCCCTTCTCCAAAGGTATCCCTGCTCAGAGCAGGATGGGGGGCTCTGCCAGTCCCTCCCCAGCCAGCCCATGGGGAGGTCTTGGTTGGCAGAGCCCGTGGCAGGGATGTCTCTGCTCTTGGTGTGAGGGGCCAGTGTGAGGTGGCAGGTTACCATGGGCCCCCCGTCCTGGCGGGCTCGGGGGGCCCTGCTGGGGGAGCTGGGCCTGTGCTTGGCTCTGTCCTTCCCCCTCCACAGCCCCGTGCTGAGGGGGGTCAGGGCTGTGCCTGGCAGCCCCCTGGGGAGCGAGGCCACGAGGCTCAGCCTGCTCCAGCTGCTCCCTGTTCTCCCACTGCCTTTGTTCCAGTCTCCACACTGCTGCCCATGGGCTCTGCCCCCTCCCTGTGGGGTCAGCGGGCTGAGGCTGGCCCCAAGGGGCTGGTTTGGTAACAATAGGGACTGCTTGGGAAGTGGCTGCAGGGCTATCCAGACCCTTCACCCGCAGAGCTTTCACACTGGAGCTGCAGCACACACATATGCCCCAGCCCTGGGAGGTGGCATGTCCCTGTGTCATGGCTCAGTGTGTCCCTGTTGTGTGTTTCAGTGTTGCCAGCACAGTCAGTAGTGCCCTGGTGTGCTCAGCCAGCCACATGTGAGTACGTCCTGGGGCTCTGGGCAGCTCCTGCTGCCAGTGGCTTCGCTTTCCCAGGCCTTGATCCTGGTTTGCTTCTCCTCTGGTGGTGGCTTGGACTCCTGTGGCTGTGGAGACATCCCTGTGGTGTGGGGGGTGCCATTGCCCCAGCCCAGGCTGTTCCTGCAGCCCCCTGCACATCCACAGGGTCTGCTGGGGGTCTGTGCAGCAGGCTTGGCTGTTTGTGCTCCCTCTCCCTTGTCACTCTGTCCTATTGCTACGTCAGAGTCCCCTTGGATCTTCACTGCTTGCTGTCCCTGTGCCTGGCTTGAGAGCACAAGGCTAGGGCCTTGGCCTGGGTCTGGTCCCTACTGGGCTCAAGCAAGGAGGGTTTGGCTCCTTCCTGGAAGAGATGATGGTTTTGGGATCAGATGGGCTGGGCATGGAGCAGAGGGGAAGGGTCTCCTGTCTAATGTGATGCCTTTGCTTCCTGCCCCAGGGAAGTGTTTCCTCTACTGCAATGGGCTCATGGACCACTTGTACGTCTGTCAGAACGGCAACGGCTGCACCGCCTGGTACAAGGCTCCCACCCACTTCACTGGCACACTGGTAGGGGCTGTGGGCATGAGCAGGGGCCTCTCAGTCCCAGGGGGGTGTCAGAGGGTTTCCTGGGAGGGGGGATTTACCCATCTCCCCCTCTAACTCCTCTCCCTGGTGCTCCTCTCTCCAGGATGCCTTTGTGAAGATCACACGCTATGAGGGTCTCAGGTCTCTGTGGAGCGGTTTGCCCCCCACCCTGTGAGTCTGGGCACACAAACACCTACCCCAAGCCTCCTGCCAGCTGCCAAGGTGGGCACACATGCCCCTCACACCCCTCCTCCTCCTCACAGGGTCATGGCTGTGCCAGCCACTGTCATTTACTTCACCACCTACGACCAACTCCGGGACTACCTGCACGCCCGGACGGGAAGCCGTGGCCACCACATCCCCTTGCTGGCTGGAGCCCTTGCCAGGCGTGAGTACCCTCCTCTCTGGGGGTCCCCTGTGTCCCCACAGGGCTGTCTCAGTGCCTGCATTTGGCACCTGACTCTCCCAGCACGGTGCTGGTGGCTCTGCTGGAGCAAACAGGGCTGACTGCCTGTGTCCCCTCTGCTGCAGTGGGTGCTGTGACAGTCATCAGCCCCTTGGAGCTGATCCGAACCAAGATGCAGTCCCGACAGCTCAGCTATCGTGAGCTGGGTGTCTGCATCCAGTCAGCAGTGGCCCAGGATGGCTGGTTGTCCCTCTGGAGGGGCTGGGGACCCACCGTGCTGCGGGACGTCCCCTTCTCAGGTATGGCTGTGGTGGCACTGGGGCATGGAGGAGGCAGAGACAGGGCAGCCCTGTGAGCAGGGTTGGTGTGTCCAGGGTGACTGATGTTTCTCCTCTCCCCCCAGCTCTGTACTGGTTTAACTATGAGCTGGTGAGGGCATGGCTCTGCAGGCAGGCCTGGCTGGATGAGGCCACGTTCATGGTCAGCTTCACATCTGGGGCCATCTCCGGCACGGTGAGTTTGTGGCACTGGGGCTCATTTTGGGGGGATGCCCTCTGTGAGGAGGGAGGGATTGGACTGGGTTGGCACCAGTGCTCACTGCCCAGTGCCAATCCCACAGGTTGCTGCAGTGCTGACACTGCCCTTCGACGTGGTCAAAACGCAGCGGCAGATCGAGCTGGGAGACAGCGAGGTGCACCCAGGTGAGGGGCCAAGCTCCAGGGAGGTGCCTTGGGGGGCAACCAGCACTCCCCATGGGCATCCCCAGACCCTCACCCACTGCCCTCTCCCCACAGTGACAGCCTCCAAGCCTTCCTCCACGTGGCTGCTCATGCGACGGATCCGCGCCGAGTCCGGCACCCGAGGGCTGTTTGCAGGTGAGGACGTGGCCCAGCCCACGTTGGGGTGACAGGTGCCCTGGTGCCACCCTGGGGGGCTGACAGTGCTGTCCTTGCAGGTTTCCTGCCCCGTGTCATCAAGGTGGCACCTGCCTGTGCCATCATGATCAGCACCTACGAGTTTGGCAAGACCTTCTTCCAGAAGCTGAACCAGGAGCAGCGGCTGCCAGGGTTGTGAGAAGGGTTGGAGCAGGGCTGGATGTGGCCCTTGCCTAGGGACAGTGCCTGGTGTCCCCAGAGCAGTGATCTGCACTCGGCCGTGTAGAGCCCAAGTGCCTTCATCCCCCGTGCTGCCTCCCTGCTGCCTGCACACGGAGCCAGGGCCAGCCCGGCCCCCTCTCCATCCCAGCCACGCTGGGGGATATCTGTGCCTGCTGCTGTGACACTGGGGGGGACACGGAGCCCCCTGCTCCCATCCCTGGAGGCTGGACAGATGCTGCTGCTGGATTCACGGACACTCTGGCGAGGATGGGGTGTTCCAGGAGACCTGGGCTGGCAGGAGATGGGAGCTGGACCAAACCTCGGGTGCTTCTCTGCCTGCCTGAGCCCCCCCTGCTCTGCCTGGGGGTCTGCCCCTCCTCACCATCACTCACACACAGCCTCCCCTCGCTGGCTCTGCATGGCATGGGGATACACCAGGACCCTCTCCCTGCCTCCAGACCTCTCCTCCCACCTGGGCTGTCCCTGTCTCTTGTCAGACACTGGGTTGGACATACCCTGTGTGGGGACAGCCCTTGCTGCTGCTCCAGGGGGGCATTGTGGCACACTCTGCCCTGTCCCTTCACCGTGAGGGAATGCCCAGCTCTGCGGGCACTGCCCCCCTTCCCTTGGGACTCACGAGGGGAATGTCTCCTATTTTCTTAAATAAAGGAAAACACTTGTCTCTTAGGGGCAGGATTTCTCTCCCTGTGTTCTGGGGGCTGTGAAAGGCATCCCCATGGCTGACAACTGTGTCCCTGCTGTGTGGGTACAGTGCTGTCACCCACCAGTTCCTTGCTGGGCTTTTACTGGGGGGTAAGGGCACCCCAGGACCACACTGCGGATGGGCCAGGGGATAATCCATCCTTGGATCCTCTGCCTGGAAGGGCTGGAGGAGACTCACTGGACCCACCCCAGCATCCCTGCCTGGGCCAGGACTTTGTAGTGGGGGGCACAAGGGATCTGTCCCCTCCTTTCCCCAGCTAGGGGTTGGGTGACAGAGACCAGCTCTGCTTGCTGCGTTTATTGATTCCTTTTGCTCCAACAAGGCAGATGGGGCTGAATTAAAAACCAAAATCACCCAAAACAACCCAAAACCCAGGGGAGGAGGAGGAAGGGGAGTCCTACCCCTGTCGTGGGGATGCTGCTGCAGGGAGGGACACCTGATCCCCAAACGGGGGGGCCGGGGGAGGTCGGGCACTAGTGGGCAGGCAGAGCCCGGGTGGGCACCGCGGGCTGAGCAGGATGGGCAGCAAGGGCTGTGCCCGACCTC